ATACCTTCAAACAGAGATCTTATTCCTTCATTTTTCAACGAGACGTCGCTGCATATATATACCAGTTTTCATTTGTTCCCTTATTAAAATTGCTCCCTTTTTATTACTTGGTGCCGCGCATGTGTGCGCACGCTCCCTTTTCGAAAAGGTTCACCGTCACTGATTTAGTCGGCGGTAGGATTAAAAAAGTTTTGCTACCACTTCTGTGGGCGTGGCTTGGTGGGCGTGGCAGGGGAAGGATACTGCAAAATCCCCATCCCCTCCCCACCCCACTATCCTGCTTTCCATCTCCATTCTCCTCTTCAGGGCAACCCAAAAATATCAGCTGGAAAGCTGGGAGGCAGCAGGGGCGTGGCCAGCCTCTTTGCCGGTTCTCCCAACTACTCAAAATTTCCCCTACCGGTTCTCCAGAACCTGTCAGAACCGGCTGAATGCCACCGCTGCATCTAGTGACCATTCAAGTTACAATGGCAGTGAAATATTTTTTTCACACTTGCGGCTGTTGCAGTATCTTCATGGTCACATGATTGGAATTCAAAAACACTTGGCCACTGACTCATGTTTATGACGGTTGCCATTGTCCCGGGGGGGGTCACGTGATCCCCTTTTATGTCCTTCTGACAAGCGAAGTCATTGCGGAAGCCAGATTCATTTGGCAACCGTGTCACTAACTTTTAACAACTGCAGTGATTCGCTTAGCAACTGTGGGAAGAAACGTGGGAACACGAGGCAAAACAAGTCCCACTTAGCAACAAAAATCTTGGGCTCAGTTGTGGTCGTAAGTCAAGGACTACCTTACAATGGTTGCAGCATCCTAGGGGGTCATGTGATCAACATTTGTGATGCTTCCAATTGGCTTCCCACAAACAGTCAAATGGGGGGAAACCCAGATTCACTTAACAACTGCCTTGTTTGGCAAGGAAAATTTGTTCTGATTTGTTGTCATAAGTCAAGGAGTACCATACTTCTGTTCCCCCCCCCACACACACACCATTTTAAAACTCTCCTCCCCATCACTCCCAGTCCTGCATTGTAAACTTCCTCCCAAAAAAAGACAGACAGGAAGCCTGAACAATGCAAAATATATATTAGTTTGCACAGTGCAATGATGGGAAACCTTGTTCAGCAGCCGCACAAAGGCTGGCTAATCATCGTGTGTGCATGCACGACAGACAGATGCCCAGAAGAGGGAAGGGTGTGCCAGATGACTTGGCTCTGCATGCCACTTCAGGCAGGTGTGCCATAGGTTCACCATCATGGGTATAGTGTCTACAAATTCCTTGTGTGTCTAACCATACTTGGCCAACTAAAGTTATCTGTTCTGCTCTGCTAGAGCCGAGGTGGCGCAGTGGTTAAATGCAGCACTGCAGGCTACTTCAGCTGACTGCAGTTCAGCAGTTCGGCTGTTCAAAACCAAACCGGCTCAAGGTTGACTCAGCCTTCCATCCTTCCGAGGTGGGT